TGGATAAAAAGCCTTTTGAAACACCAGAAAAAGATTCATATGCTAATATATTTTCCTCAGTTCATAGAAAATAATATTACATCACAGTGGAACAACAGACCTAGGTTAGGACTTTTCTTAAAGAAAAATCCTTGTACCCATGGGGGACAAAGTGGAATATTTGTGTTAGAATTTTTGACTATTCCCATAGTGAGAGGCACTGAGACTCTGCTGTATGCAGTGGAGAAAGTGCTAGAGGAAGAATGACAACTAACCTCACTTTTAACACTTGTGTTCAAAAGAATTGGTGTTGAAGTGTGCCCAGAAGATGATAATGACAAGTATATTCTGTTGGGCGGATAATGTGCTGTTGTGTTGAATGGTGGTGGTATTTGTCATCCAGTGAAGATGAGTGCTGTTTGGCTGTTGTCAGCAAGGAAGCTGTAGATATCGTGTCATTGAGAGGGGAAGTGCTGGGAGTAGAGAGTGAATCAGATTTCACTGCAAGGCTAGCAGCACTTTCAACAAATTGTGTGATCTGTAACTGTGTGGTCTGCATAGAACTGAATCTTTTTTTTTTCATGTCAGGTCATTCTTTTTTTTTTTTTAATATAAGTTCATTTATTTTTAGTTTTCAATATTCACTTCCACAAGTTTTTGAGTTCCAAATTTCTCACCTCTCCACCCACCCCAAGATGGCATGCATTCTGAATACTCCTTCCCCTGTTCTGCCTTCTCTTCTATCTCTCCCTCCTCCTTTCTCTTATCCCCTTCCCCTTCTCTATTTTCCTGTAGAGCAGGATAGACTTCTGTACCCCATTTCCTGTATTTCTTATTTCCCAGTAGCATGTGAAAACATTTTTTTTTAAAACATGTGTTTTTAAAACTTTGAGTTCCAAATTTTCTCCCTTCCTCCCTCCCCACCTACCCTCATTGAAAAGGCAAGCAACTCAATATAGGTTGTACATGTGCAGTTATGCAAAACACTTCCACAGTAGACATGTTGTGAAAAGCTAACTCTATTTCCCTTAATCCTATACTGCCCTCCCATTTATTCTATTCTTTCTTTTGACCCTGTCCGTCCTCAGAAGTATTTACTTCTGATTACCCTCTTTCCCAATCTGCCCTCCTCTCTATCACCCCCCTGCTCTCTTGTCCCACTCTCCCCCTATTTTCCTGTAGGGTAAGACAGATTTCCATACCCAATTGAATGTGTATGTTATTTTCTCCTTAAGCCAAATCCTATGAGAATAAGATTCCCTCATTCCCTCTCACCTTCCCCTGTTTCCCCCCTCCACTGTGAGAGACTTTTCTTTTCTGTTTTATTTTTGTGAGATAATTTACCCCATTCTACCACTCCCTTTCTTCTCCAAGTATCATCCTCTCTCATCCCTTAATTTTATTCTCCAGATATGACCCCTTAATCTTCAACTCACCCTGTGCCCTCTATCTATCTATCTATCTATCTATATATACATACAATTTTTTTCCTTCAACTACCCTAATACTGCATGTCAGGTCATTCTGAGGAGATTAAGAGATGGAGTTGGGGTACTGCCAAGTCTGTATGGATCTCTGTTCATATAGTCGGTCCTGAGTATTATTTTGGAAGATATGGGTTGTCTACTGAATAGGGCTGCTCTAGAAGCCAGAGGTCTGACTCTGGTTAGATGAAATTATGGACAAAGACTTGCAGTGCTAGTATAGAGTCTGCTTGGAGTCTGACTTGAGGAGGTGGTCTTGGTAGAAGTAGACTAGAAGATAGGCTCTGACCCAAATTGTAATGCCCCAAACTACAGGTTTAGACTTGATGTATCTATTGAGTCAGGTATCTCCTCTGCCAGAGCAGAAATCTTTGAAGTCAAAGTGGCCTTTTTCTTTTTCTGCTGGCTTTGAACTGGCTGAAGGCTAGAGATTTGGGTTGTCTCAAGACCCTGGGGACATCTGTGGAGCTGAGGTGGACTTGCTTCACAATGGAGAGGAAGGTGCCAGAGATGCAACCATAGAGGTAGTTATAGCAGATAATTTTTCCTGCAAGAACACCTCCATCATGGCTAAAGATGGGGTGAAGGCCTAGGGCTTTGTAAAAGGGCTGTGGACTGCTGGATATGTTGAGTTCTTCAAATCATTCTGCATTAGCAATGGGATTATGTTGTAGAGCCCATGTCCCAAGAGGAAGTGGTAGTGTTCCCACCTGACTGAGGGTGCTGAACTGCTCACTGGGCCAAAGTCTGGGCTGTCTTGAACTTCTCCAAGAATTGAGAGCCTGTGCTGCTACCAACTTTAACATTGATGATGATACCAAAACCCTTTCCTAGCATGCTCACCATGCTATAATGGAAGAAAGTACTTTCTGCTGTAGTTGTGATATGGTGCTCTACCCAGGGTTACTGAACACCAGGGACTGGGCAAAGGAAGGAGTCTGAGATGGAGCCAGATTAGTTGATTCATTTTCCATTGAAGGTGTCTTCCCTAATAAAAGAGAAAGGTTATTCTTCTGACCAGTGGTGATTGTCACATTTTCTGCAGGCAGAGACTCTGAAAGCATATTAGAGGCAGCAAAGATCTTGGTCTCAGAAAGATATTCATTGCAATCTTCTGTGCCCTATTCCTCTGCCACAGTGCTCCATGCACTCATCCTATTGTTTGGCTCAAAACTGCCGGTATTGTTACCCATGTTAGTTTTCATTGGTGTTTTTTTGTTGTTCAGTCATTTTTCAGTCATTTCCAACTCTTTGTGATCCCATTTGGGGTTTTCTTGGCAAAGATACTGGAGTGGTTTGCCATTTCCTTCTACAACTCATTTTTACAAATGAGGAACTGAGACAAACAGGGTTAAGTTACTTACCAAGGGTCATACAGCTAGTAAGTGTCTGAGGCCAGATTTGAACTCATGAAAATGAGTCTTCTTGCCTTCAAGCCTGGCACTTTATCCACTGTGCCACCTAGCTGCCTTTTGGTGTGGTGGTTCTGCATAATTGGCTGGGTTAAAGATTCCCATATCTTGGGCAGAAAACTATCCTTTCCTCCTATCAGAGCCACCTGTGCCTTATCTGTGACCACTTTGACCTCTTTCTGTGGCTCTTCTATTTGGGCCTTTGGTGTCAGCACTATCCAGTCCATTTTCCTGACCCTAAAACCCTCATCTATAACTGATGCCTCTTCCCCACTTCTGTGACTTGCTAATTCTGCTATGGTCTCTGTCTCAGTCTTGATTATCTTAGCCTTCCTCTTTCCATCTGTCCACCACCTTCTGCCCCAGACTTCCTTCTTTTTTCCAACCATTTCTCGGGAAGGCTGGGTTCTCTTTCAGCAGCACGTTGATAGTTCTATTGATATCTCCAATACAGTAATGCAAAGTAATCATACATTCATCCTGTTTTTGCCTATGATATCAATCAGTTGCTTCACCTTCTCCTCAAAGTCAGCTTTGTTGTGGTCCAAAATCATCTCTGCAAGTTTGATGTGGCTCGTAGCCTCTGCTTGTGCTACATTTGCTTCTTTGTCCTTGTCTGCTCCCAGTTTCCCTGGACTCAGTGTTCACCAATTTCATCATTTATAGTACATACAAATAACAGCGTGTACGAGGTAGAATGCTCAGTTTCCTTCACATACTTACACCCTGAGCCACACTGACCCTGTCACATAAATCTCTTTCCCAATTATATTTTAATCTGGTTTAGATAGCATTTAAAAGCAAGCTCCTTGATTTTGATGCCTACTCTTTTTACTGCTAAGAAAATGGCAGAAGTTGGAGTCAAGCAACTACTGAATTTTACTGTAGCTGTGCAATGGAATATTGTACTAGACTGAAACTGATCCTATCCATAGTATCAGGAATTTATGCTACCATATATATTTTGTGCTATACATTGCATAGTTAAACTATATCTAGAGCATTGCTTTGACTTTACTAGGTTAGTTACCTACGAAAGGAGGAAACGAAAGGAGGAAGTAAGGCTAGTCCGGTATGATATATTCTTAATGAAATTATGATTGCTCTTTTTTAGATGTTCACTAACTATTTCTTTTCTTTCTTTCTTTTTTTTTTTTTGTGAAGCAATTGGAGTTAAGTGGCTTGCCCAGAGTCACATAGCTAGTGAGTGTTATGTGTCTGAATCCAGATTTGAACTCAGGTCCTCCTGACTCCAGGGCTGGTGCTCTATCCACTGTGCCACCTAGCTGCCCTTACTAACCATTTCTTCAAGAATCTATTACATAATTTTTCTAAGCATCAGAATTAAGCCCACTAGTATATAGTTTGCAAATTTTATCCTCTTTCATTTTTTGAAAATCATGAAAACATTTACCTTTCTGCAGTCATGACATGCCTCACCCATTCTCCATAATCATGTGAACAGTACTGAACAAGTCATTACATTCACCAGCTCTTTTAGTACCTGATGATGCACTTTATCTGAGCCAAGTGACTTGAGTTCATTTAGGGTAACTTGGTGTTCTCATGTTATCTCCTCAATTATCTTGGGTATCGACTCCCTATAGTTATTTTTGTATTTCCTATGGAAAGGTCATTCATTCTCTTTAGTAGAGAAAACAGAAATAAAATATTAATTGATTAACTCTACCTTCTCTCTGATTCAGATATGCCCTCTGCCATCATCACTTGGCAGACCTTCCTTCTTTAAAATTAAATCTGGACATCCTGTTCAGATTCTAATTGCTGTCACCTATGGACCTCCATGTCCTTTTCTCCTCCAAAAATAAATTCAGCACCTGTCTGACACTTGTCTTTTTTTGGTCCTATCCTCTTATTCTTTGAACACATTGGCCTCCTAGTTTTTTACTGCCATCAGCTCCCATGGCCTCTGTCTCCAGTTTACCTCAACACACATGCACTGAAGTACTTATACCTTAGATTCCCCCTTTCCCCTGTGCCATTAAGTGAATTTCCTCTGTGTACTAGAATTCCTTTTTTATAGCTTTGGTTCATTTTCATATTACAAATGAATAATTTCCTTATTGAACAATCTCTATAGTTTCAATGGACACTGGTGACCTACCTGCCAATATAGATGCTTCCGTTGCAAAACTCATGGCAAATTCTCGAATAACATCTGCAGAATTATCACTAATGAAGAATCCAAGGTAACTGATAGAAGAATGGAGGCTCAAAGGGATAGTAGAAGGAAAGGAACTCAAAATCTTGTCACCAGCTCTCTTCAGGGCTTCATATAAATGTTCCACTTTCTGGTCTTCACACTAAGAAAAAACAAATACAAAATGCACTGTTCCTGAGAGAAATAATACAAAACTTTGAGTATAACTAATACATAGATAGGTATGGTGTTCAAAGTGAGATCCTTATGAAATAGTCTTCCACCCGTGGATTCATTTAATTGTTTGGAGTATAACCAGCTGCTCCCCTTTCCACCCATTACCCTTATGACACAAGTCAGCATCCTTTTTTTTTTTTTTAAATTTGGAGCACCTGGGGCATTCCTTCTTACATATTAGCTTCCAGAAAAGCTATTTCTTATTGGGTATATTATCCCACAAGTTACCACATCAGTGGGAAAGAACTTACATGTAGAGAACACATATGACCATAAAACATGCCTAGAGGACACATATGTAAAAAGAATGAGGGTGCGTTGCCAGTGTAATACACCTCTAATGTTTCAGGACTTCCAATGTTTTCTGGTGGTATCATTATGCTATTTTCTGTTATTTATTATCAGTGTTTTATCTTTGTTCCTTACTGACTATGTCATCTCTTGTTGTCTTTATTGGGTATCTCCACTGCCAAGTTTCTACCACCTTATGGGCTTTAGCTCTTCAGGAAAATTTTCTGGGATTTTGTTCCCTTCTACCTTGCTGTAGTGACTAGAAAATCTCTCCCTCATAAAGGCAGGCTAAGAAGTCTTTAGTCCCTACCTTAGGTCAAATGCCCCCTTGTCTATCTCAGGGCAGCTAACAAAATTCAGCCAGTGTACTACCAGCTACAATTAAGTTTATTCAATTCACTGTCTGTGCCTAGTACTGATTCAAAGTCCATGGTCCATAGCAAGTATCTGACTTGGATAAGAAGTCTCTTCATAAGTCCTGTTTAACCCCAATAGGAATTCTGTGCCCCTAAACCATGAATATTCCATGGACTCCAATAAAACAGAGCCATAAGAGCTATACAGAGAATAGGGCTACAAAATACACTTTGCCAATAACATCCTCCATGCTTAGCACCAAAATGAAGTTGAGCTAGAACAATGATAATAGAAGACCTCAGTCCCTGGTACACATTGCTCATTCAGTCAATTAGCATTTATTAAGCGTCTACTATAGTCCAGGATCAGTGCTAAACCCTGGAGGTACAGAGAAAAAGAAAACAAGCAATGAAACAAATGAAAATCAGTCTCTGCTCTCTGGGAGCTCACAGTTTAATGGGGCAGACAACATGCAAACAACTATTTATAAATAATTTGTAGACAAGATTTCTTTATTATATATTCAACTCAATTCATCAAGCACTTGTGGTATGCCTGATATATACTAAGCACTATACTAGGTTTCAGGGGTTTCAAGACAAAAATCAAATACCCCTGTCTTCACAGAGCTTACTGCTAAAAGAGTAAATGCATTCCTTCTTCCTGTAACAAACATAGGAGGTTGCTTGGAGAACTTCCTTGATCAATCTGCTACATTATATTTGCCTTCTCTCCACCCATTCAACTATCACCCTAGTTCAGGTTCTTATCACCTGGACTATTACAACAGACTTCTAATTAGTCATTCCACCTCAAGTCTCTGCACACTCCAATCCATCCTCTACTCTGCTCTCAAAGTGATTTTCCTAAAGCATAGATCTGACTATCTCACTATGTAAAGTACGGCAGTTCTCTAGTAGCTCCAAGATAAAATATGAGGTGTTCTGTTTGGTACTGAAAATTCGGGATAACTTTATCTGTTCCTCTTATGAGAGATGATTTCTCAGAAGTGAAGCCTCCTCAGGGAGTCAATGGTTCTTGTTAATAGTTCCTGATTGTTGCTTTCAAAACTATTCCCTGCTAAGGCCCTGTTTTTAAGTACTTAGCAGAAAGGATAGCCCTGCCCCCAACCTGGACTGCTTGCCCTTGAAATGCTTCCCACTTTTTCTTGTCTCTGGGCAAACTTGTATCTCCATGAATAGATTGTACCCCCTGAAAGCCCAGCCAATGGGATAAGGGGAAGGGGGTTAGGGAGGGGAAATGTGGTAGGGACCTATAAAAACCTGCTGTATCTATGTTCAGTGTGCTCTGACACTGAAATGTCTTTGGTGTGAGGCAGCCCTTTCTTGTGAGATTGTAATAAAAATTCTTTTCTGCTTTCTACCTCAAGAAACCTCTGAGTTTTATTTAGAAAATAAGGATAGCTGTCCCACACACTCTCTTTCCAGTCTTCTTGCATTTTACTCCCTTCTACACACTCTAAGATCCAGTTAAATTTGCCTACTTACTATTCCTCAAACATTATACCCAGTATCTTGTCTGGTGCCACTGTATGGGCTAAGTGACATGCTTAGAGTGCTCTGTCTCTTTACTTAAGCCTTTTAGCTTCCCTGGCTTCTTTCAAGACCCACATCAAATTCTACTTTCTGTAGATGGGTTTTCATAGTTCTCCATCTAATGATGCTTTACTCTTTGAGATTACTCTCCATCTACTCCGTATGAATCTTGTTTGTACCTAGTTATTTTCATGTTTTCTCCCTCAGTAGAATGTTGTCATGCAAATTTAGGGCAGAGTTAAAGTGAAAGGCACAAAGTGACACTGAGATAGGTTAGAATGATTTATTGATACTCAAACCCAACTGCTACGTAGGAAGGTACAGCAAGTACCAGAAGTAGAGAGTTGAACATGGCCCAGAGGGGTGGTGAGAAGTGCTCTATGGTCAAATGTGCAGAATATCTGGGAATCTAGATTTACACGGGATTTTCAGACAAAAAGTCTGCTTATGGTAGCTGTCATATTGATAGTGGAAGTGATGGGCTCAGGGAGGATAAGCCAGTAACAAAATGGGAGAAGGATAAAAAAAATTAACTAGGAAGGCCTACTTGGGCTAAGGAAGGTGAATTATAATAATGCCACATTAACAGCTTGCAGAAGATTTTCAGCAGACAGTTCCAACCAGAAGACCATTCAGATTAAGTCCTAATCATACAGGAGTTGTGTAATAGGATAGACAGTCCTGGGATAGTGGGACCACGGTCTCTTCTGGCTATTCCATTGTGAGCTCCTTGAGGGCAGCAACTGTTTTCTCCTTTGTATCTTTAGTGCTTAGCTTAGTGCCTGGAATATAATAATCATTTAATGAATACCTATTTCCTGACTGATCTGGTAGCTAACTGAGGGTGCTGAATCAAAGGTTGAATCTTATGAATTAATTCCACTCCCTTTCCCCCAAACGCCTTATTTTTGCCATGTTATGGACTCATCCAAAGCTTATTCTAGTGAAATATCTGAATTTAACTTAGAGTCTAAGTTTCCACCTATGTGGGTCAAAGATTCACCCAGATTACAAAGAAGTACTCAAGGTAATAATGTCCTTCATAATCTAAATCATAATAATAGCTCACATTTATATATTATGTACCAGGCATGGTGCTAAGACCTTTAGAAATATTATATAATTTGATCCCTAAGAAATATTATTATTCTTGCTTTACCAATAGTGAAATTGAAGCAAATAGGGGTTTTAACTTGCCCAAGGCCACACAACCAGTAAGTGTCTGAAGTTGGATTTGAATTGAGGTCCTTCCTGACTCCAGACCCTGCATCATCTAGCCCAGCTACCACCACCTTGCTGCCCACAGTGAAAGGGAGAAGACAGGTAGGATAATGCCTTGAGGAGGGTAGAACCAAATGAAAGTTGTTAAGATTGGTCTCTATCTGAGAATATTTGTAGGCAATGGGAAAGGAACCAGTAGAAAGGTAGAGAAGTGCTAAAGGCAGAAGATAGAGGGGAAAATGATAAGAAGCAATCAGTAGAAGACAAAGAGGTGAATAGAATTAACGACACAAATAGAGAGGTTGGCCTTGACAAAGAGATGGGTCACATCTTCCACAGATTTGGAGTAAGGGATGAGAGGATGATTGGAGGTAAAATATTTTGAATAAAATATAGAATAATAAGGTTTAGGGAGCTCGTAACAGATGATCTTGATATCCCACTAAAATTGGACACTTGCTGAAATTAAGAGGCATGGAGTTATGTTGGTGGAGCAAGTATGTGCTATAGTAGATAGAGTGCAGGGTTTGGGGTCAGGAAGATCTGAGTTCAAATCTAGCTTCAGACACCAGCTCTACGACTCTGGGCAAGTCATTTAACCTTGTTTACCTTAGTTTTCTTATTTTAATTATACAAATTAAAATAAAGGAAATCATAGTTTCATTTATTTGTAGGGTTCTATACATCAGAATGGTCTGAAGGAAATGGTATTTATTCTTTTGTCATTACAGATTTTCAAAGCTTATAGTATAAAGGAGAAAAGTATATCTTATGCCTCGACAGCAAAGATCCTGTAAAAACACTATATCTTCTGTCTTATCAGCTCAAATACTAGTAAGCATGGACTTTATTTATGTTCTTTAGAACTAAGATAATGATTTTTACTCCTTGGAGGCCCATACAATAAAAGCCTGAGAAACCCTTTCTTCCCACAGATGGAATTCTCACAGGCACTAAAACTACATGAAATAAAAGAGGTCCTCAGTCATATCAAGCTTATACACTAAACTATAGTTAAACTTATAGTGACTACTTAATGAATACAGAGAGAACTAAAATAATATTACATGTTGTTTTTAACATTAGAAATATTTGTTGTATTTTACCATATACTCTCACTCATTTTCCCCACATCAAAAGCTATGACGCTTTTCTCCCCTTCTCTCAATTTCTAATTGCCCACTACTCTGAACCCTATGTATCACAAAGAGAAGTGCTGTAAAACATTTTTTCTTAAAACCTTTTTCAGTAGCAAAATAAAAACAAATTCATGTAAAAATAGTATTATAGCCTAAATGATGCTCTCTTTCTCCAAGGCAGGAGATCAGGCTTCAAACTTGATGCAATGATGACTCTCCCAACATGTCAGCCACAAGCGATTAGAATAGTATTTCTCTTCTCATAGGAGGCTGGAGATTAGGATATGTGTGAGTACTATGTTAAGGTGTGTACTTCTTCAGTTCACAATTTCAGAAGACTGGAGATCAGACAGGAGATGTACACAGCATGATAGAATACACATGGCCAAAAGGAAGGCCTATTGCCTTTTTTTATTAGCCTTCTACGGGAGTCTGGGGATCAGGCAGGAGATGGGCTCTGTGATGGACTCACTCAAGAGAGTTTGGTAGCCTTTCTCTTCCTGCAGGAGATGCTCAAAACACAATGGAAGAAGCATGGTCAGATGGAGGGGTCCCTGCCTTTCCTCTCCTGTTTCCACATCGATGATGCTCCCTGATTTCACCCAAAACCTCTGAGAAAGAAGTCTCAGAATAAAATATAAGGTGGGCCCTTGGAGAGGGTCAGTATCATTTGAAGTGATACATCATAGCATATGGCCAAAAGATGAGCCCGAGGCATGGATTCAGGGAAAGTTTCCAATTGTAGAAGAGGTTCACCCCCTACATAACGGCACACTGGGACAAAGCTGTAGCTAACCTAAGCCTAACCCAGTTACGATCCTGTTGGGGATCAACAGAGATTTGTGGTCCTGTCAACTCTGAAGGAATACTAAAACTATAATCCTGACCACGCTCACTCGCCATGTGGCTGTTCCTCTTTTTCTGTTCAAGTAATATCAGGTAATAATCACTGCTCTTGAGGTTACAATTGAATCAGAGTAGAGTGCAGATCAGGGAAATGTACAAATAACTGTAACACAAATTAGAATATGATCTAGTGAGTAAGAAAGATCTAACAAACCGGCCTAAGTAACTTAAGGAGGGAAAGAATCACTTCTCATTAGAGAAGGTTTCATTAAGAAAGTGGCACCTCATCTGGTCTTTGAAGGATAGTATGGAAGGATTCCTAGGAATGTTGGACAATGTATACATATAGGTAGGAGGAAGCAAGACAAATCATAGAACATTTAATATTGCTAGTATTCCAGACTGGCTAGTACAGAGAGAATATGAAGGGAAGTAGTAAGAAAAAAGGCACAGGAAAAGAAAGTTGGAAAACATACCATGGAAGGCCTTGAATGTCAAGTTAGGGAGTCTATATTTTAAGAAATAAAGGAAATTGTCTTACCGTAAAGAAGTCACAGAGTGTCACATGCGGGAAAATTTCATGTGCTCTGTTCTTGCCACACTGGCGTTTGCTTTCTCTCCAAAACTCCTGCAGTTTTTCTAGTAGAGGTCCAGTGGGACATAGGTAGAGGGCATATTCTTGAGGGATTGGATCATCTAAAGAAGGGTCATTGTAATGAAAATGCAACCTGCAAGGAAGAATTGGATAATTTGGCCATTTACAAGTGTGAGAGAGAGACAGAGAGACAGAGACAGAGAAAGAGACAGAAAGAGAGAGAGAATCTTTTCGCTCACTTTGATGCAAAATCAAAAGAAAAGAAAGCAAAACTTGGCCCTCAGATGAGGTCCTATTTGGAAGTTTTTTTTTTTTAAATTTTTTTGCTGATATTTTGTTTCTTACATTGTCATAGTTTTCTGAAGCATCTTTCTTCTTCCCTCTCCCAGAGAACAATCCCACATTGTTGTTTGTTGTTGGAAGAAATAAAAAGTCAGCACAACTGATGAATACACTGAAAAAAATCCAGTTTTTGCACTCCTTTAAAGAAAAGAATTTCACTGTCTACATTATCCATTCTCTCTTTCTATTTACTCTAAACTGTCATTCTTTGAATCATGACCCCTATAATTATCTACTCTCTCTCTCTTTTTTTCTGCATTCCTAATGTAATCAGATCTTTCAAGTTATTCCTCCTAAGCTCTTCCCTCTAGGCACTTTCTGTGACTGCCTTGTAGGATTTTCCCTATAGATTTCCCTATTCCATTTTTAGACACACCCAGAATAATGCCAATTATTGAAGCTGTTAGAGAGGACACTGCTCCATGGCAGGGCACCTCCTCTACCACATCCCTGATTATATAATCCACCATTGATCTATATCATTTCTGGGTTATCTCTTTTTTTTTTTTTACATTTGCCCCAAAATTTTCCCTCTGGGTCCATGCCCTCACGTTTCCCTCAGGTGTCAGTTGCCCCCAGGGGTTCGAAATCCCTACCTCCATCAATATAGGGTGAGTAAACTTTTCAAGCACCAAATTCCTTAGACCTCACTCAATGTAAGGTTCTCATTTCCCTACACAGATCATATGTGATCACAGATCACCCACACAGATTCATCAGTGTAATCCCCTCCCACCACCAAGGCCTCTTTCCTTTCTCCCACTCTTTTAATACTTCCTTCCTTTTCAACAACTCCGTGGCAGGCTCTTCTCTTTCTGAGACTATGGACATATTTTCCTTCATTTGATTTGAACCCAGCACATCAAACATTCATCCCTATCCCCTTGTTCACCACCTCCCCAAAATAGCATGCAATCTGATATAGGCTATACATATGAATTCTGTTTAAACATATTTTCACATTAGTCATGTTGTAAGGGAGAATTAGAACCAATAGAAGGAATGACAAGAAAGAGGAGACAAAACAAAAGAGAAAAAAAAGCAAATACTATGCTTTGATCTGAGTTCAAATTCCATAGTTCTTTCTCTGGATGTGGATAGCATTTTCCATCATGAGATTTTTGTTGATGTCCTAAATCCTTGCATTGCTGAGAAGAGCTAAGTCTGTCTAAGTTCGTCATCACAGAATGTGACTGTTACTGTGTACAACATTCTCCGGGTTCTGCTCACTTCACTCAGAATTAGTCCATACAAGTCTTTGCAGTTTTTTCTGAAGTCCGCCTGCTCATCATTTCTTATAGCACAATAGTATTCCATTACATTCATATGCCATAACTTGTTCAGCCATTCCCCAGTTGATGGGCATCCCCTCAATTTCCAATTCTTTGCCACCACAAAAAGAGCTGTTATAAATATTTTTGTACATATGGGTCTGTTATGTTATTCTGAAAGACCTATGAACCTTAGATTGTCTCTACACATCTTATATTCAAGATCACTATGTTCTGTGCTTTCATAGGCAGCAAATTTTCTTTTAATGTTACTGCTTTTCTACTAGATTGTCCTTCACTTCTATGTATTTATGTTCACAATTGATTGTTTTCTTTTTTATTTCTTTGGTGAGAAGTGCCATTGCAGATTTCATTTTTCTATTCTGCCCATTATTTTTGCTGTATGTGCCATAAATTCTGCTTTTATCATTGTCATTTCTCTTTTGTACCTCTCAAGAACAGCATTGTGGGGGCGGAGCCAAGATGGCGGAGTGAAAGCAGTGATTTGCTTGAGCTCTCCCCCAAACCCCTCCAAATACTCATAAAAAATGGCTCTAAACAAATTCTGAAGCAGCAGAACCCACAAAAAGACAGAGTGAAGCAAATTTCCAGCCCAAGACAACCTGGATGATTGATCAGAAAGGTGTATCGTGCCGGGCTCAGAGCGCAGCGCAGCGTGGCGTGGGCAGGCAGGCCGCAGCAAACCTGGAACAGACCTCAGAGGACTGAATCGAGGGCAGCTGTGGAGGTTTCCAGACTCCTCAATCCACGAATGCCAAAGACAACTTAGAAGGTCAGTGGGAAAAGTCTGTTTCTGTCCATGGACCGACAGGAAGGCGGAGTTTCAACTCCATTCCCCAAGAGCTTGGCCCTGGCGGGGGCAGCTGCTTCCCGAGCTTCGGGCTCACAGACTGAGGGGGAATCCAGTGGCTGATCAGAGAGGGACTGCAGGGATCTCTCTGCCAGTGCTGAGGCAGGAATCTCTTGCTTTGCCCGTGTGTGGATCTGGGTCACAGTTCTGGGCGGCAGTGATGGGGTGAGGAGGAGCGCTGGCGTGGTGGAGCTTGTACCCCCCTCACAGTTATGGGACAGAAAGGAATACTTGTGGTCACAGGCCAGGAAAGGAGTAAACACCTCGCCCCTTATCATACCACCTTGGAAGAACTGAAAATTTACAGGTCCCTACAAGTATCTCTGAAAACAGCTATACAAACCCCTGAAGCTTGGGACAGTACATTCTCCACATTAGAAGCAGACTGTTACCTTAAAAAGAGTTTAAAACTCAAGTAATTGGCTGGGATCATGAGCAAGCAGCACAAAAAAAGTCAGACTATATTATCTTACTTTGGTGAAAAGAAGATCAAAATATACAACCAGAAGAAGACAACAAAAGTCAAAGCTCCTACATCCAAAGCCTCCAAGAAAAATATGAATCAGTACCAGGCCTTGGAAGAGCTCAAAAGGGATTTTGAGAAGCAAGTAAGGGAAGTAGAGGAAAAACTGGGAAGAGAAATGAGAGTGATGCAAGAAAATCATGAAAAACAAGTCAACAGCTTGCTAAAGGAGACCCAAAAAAATACTGAAGAAAATAACACCTTAAAAAACAGCCTAACCCAAATGGCAAAAGAGGTCCAAAAAGCCAATGAGGAGAAAAATGCCCTAAAAAGAAAAATTGGCCAAATGGAAAAGGAAGTCCAAAAGATTACTGAAGAAAATACTTCCTTAAAAATTAGAATAGAGCAATTGGAACTAGTGACTTTATGAGAAATCAAGACACTGTAAAACAAATCCAAAAGAATGAAAAATTAGAAAACAATGTGAAATATCTCATTGGAAAAACAACTGACCTGGAAAATAGATCCAGGAGAGAGAATTTAAAAATTATTGGACTATCTGAAAGCCATGATCAAAAAAAGAGCCTAGACATCATCTTTCAAGAAATTATCAAGGAAAACTGCCCTGATATTTAGAACCAGAGGCAAAACAGAAATTGAAAGAATCCACCGATCTCCTCCTGAAAGAGATCCCCAAAGGAAAACTCCTAGGAATATTGTAGCCAAATTCCAGAGTTCCCAGGTCAAGGAGAAAATATTACAAGCTGCCAGAAGGAAACAATTCAAGTATTGTGGAAACACAATCAGGATAACACAAGATTTAGCAGCTTCTACATTGAAGGACCATAGGGCATGGAATATTCCAGAGGGCAAAGGAGATAGGATTACAACCAAGAATCACCTACCCAGCAAAACTGAGTATAATCCTTCAGGGGAAAAATTGGTCATTCAGTGAAATAGAGGACTTTCAAGCATTTCTGATGAAAAGACCAGAGCTAAATAGAAAATTTGACTTTCAAATACAGGACTCAGTGGAACATGAAGAGGTAAACAGGAAAGAGAAATCATAAGAGACTTATTAAGATTGAACTGTTTACATTCCTGCATGGAAAGGTGATATTTGTAACTCATGAGAACTTTGTCATTATTAGGGTAATTGAAGGAAAAAATTGTATGTATGTATGTATATAGATAGATAGATAGATAGATAGATAGATAGATAGATAGATAGATAAGGGCACAGGGTGAGTTGAAGATTAAGGGGTCATATCTGGAGAATAAAATTAAGGGATGAGAGAGGATGATACTCGGAGAAGAAAGGGAGAGGTAGAATGGGGTAAATTATCTCACAAAAAAAACAGAAAAGGAAAGTCTCTCACAGTGGAGGGGAAGGTGAGAGGGAATGAGGGAATCTTATTCTCATAGGTTTTTGTTTAAGGAGAGAATAACATACACATTCAATTGGGTATGGAAATCTGTCTTACCCTACAGGAAAATAGGGGGAGAAGGGGACAAGAGAGCAGGGGTATGATAGAGAGGAGGGCAGATTGGGAAAGGGGGTAATCAGAAGCAAATACTTCTGAGGAGGGACAGGGTCAAAAGAAAGAATAGAATAAATGGGAGGGCAGGATAGGATTAAGGGAAATAGAGTTAATTTTTCACAACATGTCTACTAAGGAAGTGTTTTGCATAACTGCACATGTACAACCTATACTGAGTTGCTTGCCTTTTCAATGAGGGTGGGTGGGGAGGGAGGAAGGGAGAAAATTTGGAACTCAAAGTTTTAAAAACACATGTTTTTAAAAAAAAAGTTTGCACATGCAACTGGGAAATAAGAAATACAGGAAATGGGGTACAGAAGTCTATCTTGCTCTACAGGAAAATAGAAGGGGAAGGGGATAAGAGAAGGGAGGGGGAAGAGATAGAAGAGAAGGCAGAACAGGGGAAGGAGTATTCATAATGCATGCACCTTGGGCTGGGGGGATGGGTGAGAAATTTGGAACTCAAAAACTTGTGGAAGTAAATATTGAAAACTAAAAATAAATAAATTTATATATAAAAAAAAAGAACAGCATTGTGGTTCAATATTTTCCTGAAATTCTACAGGGTCTCATCAAATTTTGAATCATTTTCCTTTATTGTGTGGATGTCATTAATATATGCCTGAACTGGTTTGCTAGACCTAG